AGCTGCGGGGTAGATAGATCATGGGAGTGGTTCTTCTTCTTTTCGTAGTAGGCTGGTCGCAGCCCTTGCTTGCCTCGGAAAACCGGTGAATATGTCAAAGTGATCACAACCTAGCAACCACGTGCACATTGATGACAATTATTATGGAAATCCTAAGGGCACCGCGAGCTGCCCAGAAGACTCCACACCAGCCGGCAAACATATCCAACACATCGATGTCCTGATCCGAGACCCCAGCACCAGAACTGCTATATGTGTAAATTATGACCCAGTCGATTGCAATCTGCCAAGGTTCTCGGCCCAGTCGGCGGTGCGACGTGACCGCGATGTAGTCCAGGGCATGCAGCCTCGGATGCAGCGTCGCTATGTTTAAGCGAGATCAGAGATAGCTAGGACAACTGCTGATTGCTATCTAGGCACACTATGCACGGTATGTGCAAGTGGCACAGCAGCTTGAACTGCAGCTCGGTGAGATCTAGGGGTCGTCCCATGGCCTTGTGCACCGCCTGCCCTGGCGTAGCTACAGCTCGTAGCAGAGAAACGCTTGCACTGCATGCAGATCCAGCAGCAAAAGTCACTTCATGAAGTGCTCATGCTGATCACTCGCACACTCACTCGCATGAGCAGTCAGCTTAAGGTTCAGGGTGCAAGGAAAAGGTTTAGGGCTTCGGGTTTGGGGTTCGGGGGGTGGGTTGTTATGTGAGATGTGTGTATCATGGGACGCGTGTATGTGGTGTGTGCATAAAAAATATATTTGTGTGGCCGGACTGCTATACATACAACCTCATGATCGCACTCTACATTCTACATATATTATATATATATATATATAATTATATAGCATATAGAGCGAGAAAAATTATATTTGTGTACCCCACACACACATGTGTATATACATATGCAAACATGAACATGTATGCAATATCGACTATTTTGTGGTAGAGCCAGCAGCTTCAAGCACAGGCCTAAGTAAGGCTAGCCGATGCGATCATCGCATGGATTTGCAGCATGCGCCCTCTCATAGCACGACCAAGCACAAATGCAGAATATGATATCATGTGATCACAGGTATATGTACACAGCAACATATGTACATGTTATTGTTATAATTGTGGACAGGGCTCACACCGACATCCATTTAAAAGCAAAACCGGTGTGGCTGACAGCACCACACCCGCGATCACTCGCGACTCTTCGAGACTTCAGAAAGCCTATTCTTGGCTACCTCAAACTCAGCAGAAACCGTCTCCAAGTCCCCACCCTTGTCCAAATCTCGGGCCTTAGCTGATCCAGCTGATCTACATCACTTTGCGATGCACACCCCAAACTGCGGACCAGTATCCGCTTTGATGCACGGCTTAAGGATCTCCTCCCATGTCACCTTCTCCCGAACATTCCAAGTGGCAATAGAGAGCACCTTCCAGAAACCCCCAAACGAGTTCACACCATATCGCCGATTCCCAAATGTAGCATTGCACTTCTAGATCTATGCCTGGGATCTGGTCTGATCTTCAAGCGGCTGTCGAACAACTCCGACTTCACCCCGAGTCCAGTAGGGCATCACCTGGGCTGGTTGCAGGCTTATTATATAATATATAATCATGCATGCATATCGACTATATAATTATATGCTGTTGAGATTCGCGATAGCGGGCCAGCTTTGGCAGGGTCTGAGAAAGCTTCGCTCGTTCATCCGCGCTGATAACCAGCGATGGGCACAAGCGAACCGAACCTGGGCCTGCCAACATATTATATGATTACGTACATGTACACGTACATGTACAGCTGGATCAAATACCCCACCTTTCTTCCGAGAGCCCTCCTTCTCCGGAGCTTTGCGCTTCTTAGGGGCAGGTCCCGAGTCCTCGGCCGGCGGTTCACTCGCGGCCGCTGCTGAGCTGTGGCCACCTCGTCCACGCGATCCACGGCCACCACGCCCACGACGGCCACGTCCACGGCCACGCGCATCAGCAGGTGCTCCAGACGCCTTCTTAGGGCGGTTCGCAAGTCGCCTTATTTCTCAGCACATGCATGCATGAATGTGAAACAGGGCACAAAATTTTATGTGTTTCCATTCGATTGATGCATATGATCATATCAAGCCACAGCTTGGATTGCAAAGCCGGCAGTTCGTGTTCATCACATCTCATCAACAATAGCTCTCGTGATTTGCTATCCCACGAAGGTGGATGCTGAATGAGCGGCTTGTGATCCTGCTATGACATGTAAAGACTGCATGTACACATTCACGAAGACGAATATGTCCGAATGATTTCTGTGCATGACTGGATCGCCCTGTCCTTGTCACTCGTGCGCGCGGCAGGCTTCTTCAGCACAGGGGGCTCTGCCTCCAAATGGAAGAGCTTATTATTATATATTATTATAGCCAACACTACTACACATATGGCAGAGAGAGAGAGAGAGAGAGAGAGAGAGAGAGAGAGAGAGAGAGAGAGCTGAGAGCTGAGAGCTGAGAGCTGAGAGCTGAGAGCTGAGAGCGAGCGAGCTCGAACAAGCGCACGAAAACCGCACTCCTCATCATCGTCGCCCGTGTTTTCTTCATCCTCCTGCGGATCTGGCGGCACCTCCTGTCGGGCTACGGATCGGATTTTAAAGCCCACATCCCCTTCCCCTCGCAATTCCGCGCTTGCCGTGCCTCGTCACCTTCCTCCTGGCCACTCTCATCCCCCTCCTGGTGGCCAGTCTCATCCCCCTCCTGCTGGTCGCCCTCATCCGCCTCCTCATCCCCTTCCTCCTCCTGCTCATCAGCCCGATGGGCCGATTCACCCTCCGGGTCAGCCCCCTCCGCGGCCGGATCAGCCGTCCAATCATTCCCTTCTGCAATCAGCGTCAAGCGAAGAATGTCTTTCAGCTCCTGGGTCTTCTGTCGCCTCAGCTAGCATATAGCAACATATATATATATATATATATATTAGTGACTAGCTCTATCTGCTAACCAATGCACTTCGATCTCTTCGGTGTTTTCCGAAACAGCCGAATAATGTAACACAAGCGAGCTCGGAGGGTGTTGGCATTGCTCATGGCCCAAGCCTGAAGTGCTGCTGTATACATATGAGACCATGTGCACACACACTCACACACACCCAGAAATGCGAAAGAACCCACAGAACGATCCAGAAGCAACCTCGATCTCCTTCTTCTTCGCTGCTGAGCCGAAGATCCCGTGCTCGTGGTTGCACCACATAAATGCAGTCTCGGATCGGAGCAGACTTCATGTATATGATTGTCTGTATATGTCTACATATATACTGCACGAACAAATTACTAAATGATTGCGAGTTAGCTTTGAATTTCGATGGCAGCGGTGGCTTCAGGCCGAATTGGGCACATAGGGGAGCCAATACATCAAAGGCCTTTTCAACAGCATCTTCGCACATGAAGGTGAACTCTTGCAGGCAATCATGGTCCTTAAGTTGCAGGCTGCAAATTTTTATAGTGTAGGACAGGCACACCATGCCATGGCATGCCAACACACAAGGTGTACATGCAATTGCAAGCTGCTTCTGATGCTCGCATCATGGCCGCCAGAGACACTGTCGAACCCTCCGGCTTGCCCCGAAGCCACTCATCGAGAATATCCTTCAGAAGGATCCTGAAGCCAAGCAATAGATCGGCACTAGCAGTACTAGTTGCTAATGCAGCAGAATCAAATAATAATTTAGCTGAGAAGCAGCTCTGAGTCGTTGTCATCAAGATCCACGCAACCATCATCAGGCTGCTGACTTTCATCAGCATCATCAGGTGGGCATGTTTTTTTCTTGGGGGGCATCCTACAACTAAAGGGGCCGCCGGTTCACTCACGGCGCTCTGCAGCCCAAAAAGCTGCCGAAATATTCTGCTTTATGCCGGCAGGATGGAATTCCAAGCAGCTGCGACAAATATGTGCACAGTACACTCAAGGAGCCCTTGCAACATATACAGCTGGCAAGGCTGGGGGGGTCGGAGTCCTTGTCGCTGCTGCTGCTGCAGAATCTTCCGACGTGCTGATAACGCAGCTCGCAGCATGCAGGAGAAAACACGTGCATGCACATGGGAGATTTCTAGATTTCATCCGTTTCGGCTTGTTAAAGCTTAGGGGTCTAGGGTCTTAGGGTGGTTTGGGGGTGGCCCCAAGGTTTGGGGATGTTATTCGAGTGGTCCTGCAGTTCAGCATCCGGCCAAATCAGAACAATATATATGTGCACCTGTGCCATTTGGCATGGGCTCTCCCGTAAGTCCTCAGATTTGACCCTCGTAGTGATTTGAAACACATGTTCTTTAAGCTGTCCTGTGGAAAACTATACAATTACCTGGTGAGCCAAGAGAAGGAAGGCCACACCAGCCTTTAAGTCTTGATCCGGGCATATCAATCCAAAGCCATTGGCCAATTCTCGCTTCTGAATCCCTGATTATCAATCTGAAGCATGGGCCCTGGAACCGGTTACTTGCTAGACCGGTTACCAGGCAAAGGCCCTCCCAGAGAGGTTACCAGGCTGGTAACCTGTCCAGCAGGTTACCGGGCTCCTAGGGTTTTATGATTCGAGAAGGGCTTTGGCCTTTTTTCCTGCCGGAACCCCGAAGAATCGTAGCTGTTCGTGCTTCTTTATTAACCCCGAAGCCCGAAGCACGCTCTCAACTCTTGAGTCTTAGGGAGCGCCGAGGTGTCCAACAGGTCCAGACTTGAAATAAACCATCAAAACCCTCGCAGAAACTTGAGCCCTAGGCAATCCAAGACCGTGATAGGGGACCGAAAAGAGGAGGCTCTTAATAAAGAACACCACGATGGAACAACAAACACCAACCACCGAAGCCGAAACTTCTAAACAATGAAGCGCCTGGAAGCCCTCGACCGCCACACCAACGAGTTGAAAAACAGAGCGGCCTAAATCCACTAAACCCCTAGATTCCAAAACCCGCTAAACCCCTAGACCCTAAATCCCCAAACCCTAAACCCCTAAACCCCTAAAAACCCAAACCCCCTGACTCCCTGAGCCGCAAGCAGCGCGGCATCAGCAGCCGTGCTGGGGGGCGGCCGCCCGAGGTTGCTTGGGGTGGTGCAGGCACCACCTGCTGGGCTTCAAGGTGAGGGGTTTAGGTTTGAGGGTTAGGGGGTTGGGGGTTTAAGGGAGGGTTTAGGAGTTTAGGGTTTGGGGGTGTAGGGTTAATTAGGGGTTCAGGGTTGAGGGAAGGGTGTCAAGGAGTAGCTTCGCGGCTTGAGGGTCTAGGCTTTCAGGGTCTCAGGTCTTAGGGTGTTGAGGCTGCCGGTCAGACATAGCTCAGAAATCACGTGCGGGCAGCGGTTCCCACTTGGAGGGTCGGGGGACTTAGTAAGTAGGTAGTAAGTAGACTTATAAGTAACCTAAAAGGGACCCTGATTGGGGTTATGGTACTTATAAGTCCTTAAAACGCCTCTATGCGGCTCAGAAGCAAGCTCGATCGGGGATTAGGACGCCCGCCGTGCTTGTCCCTTGTTCGCACCGCGAACAGCCTCTTCGAGCAACTTGTTGCCTTCATTCTCGAGACGACGGGATACTTTGTGACACCTGCATAGTGTTCTTGTTGCTATTCCTGGTGAAGGGTACGAAACGCGATAGCCACAAAACTCCATCCTCTCTTAACGCTAGTAGTTGCTGAGTTCCCTCCCCCCAAAAAGTCAACCTGAAGGATGCAAGACCAGCCTGTCTTCTTTTTGTTACACCTACCTTTACACCCCGCAACCGCTACCTGCAAGACTAAGTTCAGAATCAATGCACAAAAACCCCAAAGCACCCGTGAGAGCTCTTTGGGGTTGAGAGCTTAGGGATGTTTAAGGCGCAAGGGCTTCAGGTGCACTGAAGTTTTTGACCGGTAAACTTCACAAAAACCCGAAACACATCTCAAATATTTTGATCCTCATTATAAGTATCCGCAAACACGTGCCCTTCAGTGGCCCTTCAGCCGTGTGGGACATAAGGACACCAAAAAACAACCTGATGTTCTGAAACCCCACGCCTAATGGAAAAGCCTGTCAAATCTTGTCACTGATTGCTGGGTGTGTGGTAACTTGTTCCAGCCTCTTGCTGTTTTCTCCGCATCGCACGAAACATCTTTTGGTTTAGGATCCAGGGTTCGTGTTTACAGGGTTTAGGGTTTTGTGGATCTACATTACATAGGCGTGTTTAGGGATTGGCACGGCTGCCCACCAAAGTCCAGGGGTAGAGTGTGACATCGCGACTCAAACGTTTGACGGCTTCCAAGGCAGGCATGTGGGACAACGAGCACGTGCAAACTAGCCGCAGTCTATCCCGAGCCCTAAACCCAAGCCCACTGTACCCTAGACCTACCAAAACCTGCAGTTTTGTAGGGCTCCGAGAAATTCCATATTAGGGTTTATCATAAGAACCACACGAATCTAGGGTCTGGTAGGCTAAAGTAAGTCCTAAAAACCCAAGCCCAACACCTGGGTGGTTGTCAAAATTATGGTCCCCTGTTGGGTACCCTAAATAATAGGTGCCGTATTATAATAGGGACCCCTAAACCCTAAACCCTAAACCGGGGACAATAATTTTGACAACCACCCACCTGAAACCCAGAGGGGCCTCGGGATCCTTGGTCAGGGTCGCCACGAGGTCTGCTGAGGGCAACGCCTCCAAAGGGCACAGCTTGGAGGCTGAGTTGCCCCTTTATAACAAGGGTACCCTTTTCCCTATCACTATGATGCCCAGTCAGATAGGAATAAAAAGGGAAAGGGTAACAAGAGGATTGGGGTGAAAGTTCACCCTTCATGTTCGGGGGTTAGGGTTCGAAGCCTAGCAGCTCAGCTATGCAGCTTGTTGGTGGCTTCGGGCCGGTAGAAATCCTTTATAGACCCCTTTAAAAAGGACCCTTAAAGGAAGCCTTATATACGTAATTATCGAGGCCCCGATAGAAAGGTGTTCGAAACCAAAGGCTTCAGGTGGTAAAATTTGGGGTTGGCAGGCTGCTGGTGGACGATGTGGAGGGTTTCAGTCGCCGCCAGCAGGATGGGCAGCAGGGGTCGTAGGACGCCAAAAAAACCACATAAGCAAACATTTGGATAGGGATATCCCATATAAACCCCCTTTATAATGAAGCCCGTTATGGTAGGGATATCCCTGTAAAATGCTTATGCTTATGTGCTTCAGTAGGAGCGGCAGCAGGAGGAGGAGGAGGAGGTGGAGCAGCAGCAGCAGCAGCAGCAGCAGCAGTAGAAGTAGAAGTAGAAGCAACAGTAGGAGGAGGAAGATCAGCACCAACCAGAGCAGCAGGATTTTCGAAACACTCTGCTATTCACCTCTACCCGTCCCCTAAACCCTAGACCCTGAGACCCCTCAACCCCCAGATCCTGAAACTCCTAAAACCCCTAAAAACCCTGAAACTCTAAGGACTGTAGGGTTTCGAACCTGGGGATTCAGGACGGTTTGAACATCAGTTTGTGGCGACAGCAGTGAGAATCATAATGATACTGAGAACATTGAAAAAACAATGACACTAATGAACATTGCAGTAATAATGAAAACCGTGATCGTAGAAAGAATAATAGTAAGAAGAAGAAAAACTTTTCTGACGGCAGCTATCGCAATACCATTTGGAGTGATAGTTCCAGTAACCACCCATATCTCAGAATAACCATTACACTCAAACTCTGGCCCTTGCGCTTTGGGAGGAGACTTCGGCGAAAACCGGAGGTCTAGCGAGAGAGCTGAAAGCGTGCCGGAAGCCCGAACCAACAGAGCCCAATACCCCTTAATTAAGGAATATACCTCAAATTATAAGGGGCGCATAGTATGATTTAAGCCATATCCCTGAATTAAGGGGTATTAGAATCCCCTAAGCCCTAAACCCTATAGATCCTTTAAAGGATTTCTTTAAAGGAACCCTAGGTATTCCTTAATTAAGGGGTATTGGGCTCTCTGGGCCAAACCAAGAGAATGCTGCCCGAGCGCTTAGCTCAGAAGACCTCCCTGGGACGCAGCAGGCGTTTAGGGTTCAGGGGTTTACGGTGTAGGTTAGGTGCTGCCCCCATGCAGTAAGAGTCCATAATATAGGGCTACTACTAAGGTCCTGATATATCTATACTATGAATTTTATTCAACTATTACTGAGTGGGGGCCGATACCCAAGGTATAGGGCCCAGGTCGGTCTGAACTCCAAAACCACCCGACAAGTCTAAACCCTCACCCCAACAATAACACACCCCCCCCTCCCACCGATGCTCCCATGGCAGCCAGTGCACTCGCACCCGCCTGGGGAGATGCTTCAAGCTTGTAGTTTAGTGTTCATGCAGGGTTTAGGGCTTGCGGGTTTTCAGTTGCGTTTAGGGTTCATTGGGTGTAGAGCATTAAGGTTTACGGTGCTAGGAATCCAGTGATACTTTCAGTGTCATTGGAAGTCTTGAGCGTTTCTGCCAAGGATATCTGCGTTCTGGAAGCTTCTCGTGCCATACACGACCATACTTACCTTTAGCTAGTAGGGAATGGAAGAATGGTAGTAATAGTAGTTATAATTGTACCCGATTCTTCCATTCCCTACTAATCAAAGGTAAGCCTAGCGTAGCTATGCAGTATCATCCCACGCCGGTCAGTCATTCACACTAAGGGAGTCGTTTCTTCGAGGCCAGTGCGACCGGCGACCGGGTCCCCTGTTTAGGCTTCGCAGGCTTCTTTTTAGGACCCGATGGAACAGCGCCAAGGCCCTAAACCCTAAACCTCCCCCTCACCAAAAAAACATAGAGAGAGAGAGAGGGGGGGAGAGGGAGTCCTTCGTCATTCCAGAAGAGTATACCCCAGAGACAGCGTCTAATCACTGACGAGGCCCCTACATTAATCCCTTTACATCCTGTAAACACCTTATACGACCTACATCGATCCAACCCTTTTGAATAGAAAGCACCATCTAAAACCCCCGAAAGCACCCAAACTCTTAACCCAAAAGCCCTTCAACCGTTAAACCCTACACCCCTAAAGCCTAAAACCCCTAAAACGCTTAAAACCCTTAAAACCCCTAAACCCTAAACCCCTAAACCCTGAATCCCTCAAACCCTAAACCCCTAAACACCCAAACCCTAAACACTTCAGAACCCTGAACGCCGAACTGCCGGGCTCCGCACGGCGCGGCGAGCCGCCTCAGGGGACTTCAGCAGCCCCATCAGCGCGTCGATCTGGGGGGGCGGTGAAGCTAACCCAGAGACTCCAATATCCTCTGATTAAGGAATATGCCTCAAATCAGATTAGGGATCCTACTTTTGATTCAGGTATATTCCTTAATCAAGGGATATTGGAGTCTCTGGGGGGGGGGGTCGGCGGTGAAGAAAAACGGGTTCGATAAGTGTTCTTTTGGGGTTTAAGGATTAGGGTTTAGGGTGTATTTAGGGTTTAAGGTGTAGGGCGGCGTAGGGTCTAGGGTTTAGGGTTGTAGGGTTTAGGGTTGAGGGTTGAGGGTCCCTCTAACTTCTTTAAAGATCGGACAGATGCCCCACGTTGCCCACTTCTGTACGAAACACTACGATCTTTGTGCTTGTGATACCCTGGTGTGCTGGCAAGGAAAGCCGATCTCCAAAAGTTTCTTAGCAAGAGAGTCCCCATATATATATATATATATATATATATATATAACATACATACATACATACATACATACATACATACATACACACATACATACACACATACACACATACATACACCACTACTACTACTACTACTACTACTACTACTACTACTACTACTACTACTACTACTACTACTACTACTACTACTACTACTACTACTACACTACCTACTACCACTACTACTACTACTACTACTACTACTACTACTACTACTACTACTACTACTACTACTACTACTACTACTACTACTACTACTACTACTACTACTACTACTACTACTACTACTACTACTACTACTACTACTACTACTACTACTACTACTACTACTACTACTATTACTACTACTACTAATTACGGAACCAGGCTCCCTACACCATAATAGGGATGCTGTTTTGGGACCTAAGGCCATACCTGTAGTATACAAAGACCCTCTGGGTTCAGCCCTTGCAAAGAAAGGTCAGATGCAGTCCATAATCGGCCACACGACCTAGATCCCATGAAACCTGCTACCCATGTCGGTAATTGGGGGGTTTCCGAAAATTGGGGACCCTAATATAGTACCCTAAATACTAGGATCCTCATTACAAGGACCACCAAATAAGGTACCCTTAATTTTCGGAAATGCCCATGTCGGCAATTAGATCATCCGGCTCACCATTCTCCTTGCGGCGCTGGTACATAAGCTCGCCGAGACGAGCTTTGGATACCCCTGCCGATTGACAAAGCTGAAACCGAGCAGCTTGAAGCTGACCGTGCGCACCCAGAGAGCCCCAATACCCCTTAATTAAGGAATATGGCTTAAATCATATTATGCGCCCCCTTCTAACTTAAGGTATATTGCTTAATTAAGGGGTATTGGGCTTAAAACAGCTCCATTCCCGGTCAGAGTCTGCAAATCCTTCGGTCCGTCTTGTAGTGGGATCCGATTCGCAGCTATGTGAGCATGCGTGCAAGGAGTTTGCTCCATCAAGAGACGGACGTCCATTCCCTCACCAAGTCACTGCGCAAAAATGGCTTAAGCTCACGCATTGCTCTTGGCGTAACACCGAAGAAAGTCAAAATGGTCATGCGATTGTAGTGCAACAGTGTCCTCGTTGAAAAAACAGGTTGACAACATGTCGAAAGGCTTGCTAGATTTGGTGAGGCAGACGGGATTAGAGTCTGGAGTTCGGGGTCGTCAGGGTTTGGGGCTTGAGGGTGTTAGGGTCTCGGCGTAGGGTTTAGCAGAAAGATTTTGCAAGATCTTAGATCTAGAAGGGGCTTCAGGGGCTTGAGTCGAGCTTTTATACGAATTGTTCAACGCTTACCGGTGGGTGGCTTAAGGATGCAGGGATTTAGCGATTCGGGGTTGGGGCCGTTGCGCTTCAGCTGAAGGCTTACGGCTTTGGGGTGGGAGATTTAAGGTTTAGGATTTGGGGTCTAGGGTTTAGGGTTGTGTTTAGAGTGTTCTGGTCGTTGTGCTAAGGCCTCGAGAGCTTGCTTGGTACCTGTAGGGTGGGGAATGTCACAAATATCAGGTAAACATACAGTAAACCCCAAAAAGTTGGAAACCGCATTAAGGACAAATAGTGCTGGGATTCCCTATACATTACTCTTAAGGATCGAGGCTATGGGGTTTCCAACTTTTGGGCTTCTACTGTAGGTAAACGAAGCCGTAGGATCCCAATGACCCTAAACCCTAAACAATGAAGCACCTCCGAGTTTCAGAAACCCTAATGTCACTATGAAACCCCCAGCCGCTCTTCATCTTCAGGCCCTTGAACCTTAAACCGTTAAGCCAGCTTCAAACCCAAAGCCCTACTATAGGGGCCTTAATTGTTAGAAAAGGGATCTGGGGTATGTTTTACTATATTTTATAAGGAGGAGCCCAACAAATGGTATATGTAATTATTTTGTCCGCTGTATTGCGCCACCCTAAACTCCCCAAAGGCTGCAGATATAGAACACTTCATTCCCAAAACTTGAGGCGCAACCCTTTCACCTTCTCCCCCTGCACTCCACGGCCTGAAGCCTAAGGCTTAGGATTCTGCAGCAGGATATCTAATATCTAGAAAGGATTCATAATATGGGAGTTTCCGAAAATTAGCGGTACCCTATCTTGGGGTCCTTATAATGAGGATCCTACTATTTAGGGTACTATCTTGGGGTCCCCTATTTCGCAAACTCCCATATAACTTCAGAGCAGAAAGGAAAGGTCTTGGGCCTTCCAACGAGTACCCTAGCCCAAAAAAGGTTCGTCTTTTCAACCATGGTACGATTCCATAAACGCCAAAACTTAAGGGTCACCCCTAAACCCGTATCGCACCCTTAATATAGTACCCTTATAGATCTCTTAAAAGAGCCCCTTATGATGAAGTACCCTAAACCCTAACAAGGTTACCTACTCAGCTACTAAGTTACTAAGCCAAGGCAATCCCTGCACGACCCGACGCTGTGACACTGAGACCCCGGGCCGCAGCATTGGACGCCGCCGCTTGCTCGCCCATGGCACCCACTGCACCCACAGCTGCCCAGCCTCGGGGCACGGTTTAGGGTTGAGGGCTCAGGGCCTAGGGTGGCCCAGAGACCCAGATTTCGTCATAAAAAAGCGGGAAAAGCACATTAAATCGCAGCAAGAAGCCCTAGAGATTTCCAGGCATGCCTAGTTGCCGGTAAGCCTTGAACCCTGGTTCCTGAATCAAGGGCACCTTGTAACCCAACAGGTAGGTACTGCGTGGGGAACGTGGGGCCGTGGATCGGCCGGGATGTCGAGTCGACCCGTTTGCGGGCATCAGCTCTTAGGGGCCTTAATGATTAAACTAGGGTTCCTTGAAGGGTCCCTGTAAAGGGTTCTATAAGGGGCCTATAATGGGGTTCTATACTGCAGGGGCCTTAATGATCAGAATAGGGCTTTGGGGCCCATTACCTAGACCCTCCGCGTACCCTCTATTCGACTCTAAATACCTCCAATTTGGGACAATATACCCCTATTTGAGCTAGGGTACAAGGAGGGGTACAAGGAGGGTCCTGGTATACTGTAAATCTAATAAGGAACCCGCAAAATAGTATTGGAATTTATTCAGGCCCCTACATTAAATCCGAAGTAGGCTCCTCGAACAAACCTCACAACCCAAAGCCCAAACACAAATGTCCTCTCAGCGCCTGAACCCCGAACCGCAAAACGACGCAGACCACAGGGATCAGTCACGTATCGTAGCCGCCCTCGGTTGCAAAACTCAAAAGTAGCAGCCCGGGCTGCCTGGATCCGTCTAGCTAGGCGGCTGTTTGCGAGCTGAGATCGAAGATCCTACTGCTTTGTGTGCGAAGCTACCAGCCTTAAATCCTTCACACCGCGTGCATGATCAACAGCTCTATCAGCCTCAGCCTGCTCAGGACTTCCTTTGGCGCTTGTTGCCGCCTTTGCCCTGTCCCTTGGAGGACATGTAGGTGAAGTTCTCCTCATCAGAATGGACTCTGGTCTGCGCAGTCGCTAGTGCTCAAGCTGGTGCGCCAAGCCACAGCCGCATCAGTTTCGACCGGAGGCCGTGATGACTTGAGAGCAGTCCAGCCCAGTTTGCAGGGAATCTACCTTCTTCGGCTATTGTCGGCAGCATCATCGGGTGCCAGATGCCGTTCCAAAGCCTCGAATGCGAAGGCCAAAGCTCTGGCGAACTAAGCTGCCATCTTAAGAGCCCCTGCACGTGCAACACGACAGCTGCAGCATGGTTGGTCCTTTCCGACGGTTCAGGGTTGGCGGGTATCGACTCAGGATTTAGATTTGGGGTTTGGGATTCACGGAACCTTTGCATCTAGGTGTATGGGCATATACTCTATATTCAAGAATTTCGGTTGGCCTTGAATTTCCCTGGTTGCACTGGTCGAGCTTAGGAGGTCCCACAACTGACAAGCCCTCAACTAAACTAAACCAAACCACCAAGCCCAACCATCTGGGACCCTACTTGGAGGTTCATGGGTAGTTATAAATGTGTTATAAGTCCCTTAATATGGGTTATAACTATAGCTATCCTACTTATAACCCCAACCCTACATATAACTAACCATGAACCTCCAAGTAAGTACCCTGAACCCTAGACCCGTAGACCCTCAACCTCACAGTGCAGCCGAACGGCGGGTCGTGAGGTCGGCATCGCTGAGAGCCTGTCCGGCGAGTAAAAGGGCCCCTTTAAAGGAATCCTCCGTGGGTCTGAAAAGAGATACCTTTACTTGGAGGGTCGGGAGACTCACTAAGTGGTTATTTTAAGGACTTATAAGTACCATAACCCCAATTCGGGTCCCTTTTAGGGTGCTTATACGTCTACTTACTACCTACTTACTAAGTCCCCCGACCCTCCAAGCAAGAGATACTTTTATGATTGCTTATAAGGGCGACGAAGAGGCTTACTGGATGGCGCCTGAGTAATCAGAACAGGGTTCTGGTGTATACTGTAGCAATATTTTACAGCAGCTACAAGGGAGCACTCATTAACGCTCTGGCAAGTTTTCCTTCCGCCGCGATGACCTGGACGAGCACATGCTCGACTGCTGTCTGGAGGACCATGCAGGTCTTCTTTGGGGCACTTTGAGGTTCAGTCGATCGCAGCCAAAGGCAGCCCATACTACCATACAGTTTGGGAATGGCTCTCTAACCGAGCATTTGCATGCATCATCCCAAGGTGTTCCAAGTGATGTGCAGCGTCTCGCATACTTCAAGGGGTTCCAGTTTGCCGGACATCATCAGGGTGTCCCTTAAGCGGTGCATGTCCCTGGCTACGAGGCCCGACACTCGAAAGTGGTAAGACCTGATTTGTAAGTAGAATAATTAGAATGCGGCTTTGGGGGCATATGACGGTATCATGCTCATGACCACGGGAATCCAAAAGTAAAAGTGTTGGCACTTCTTCCGGCTGCTACATTACGATAAAGCTCTTCTTACCCCCATTGAAAGCATTGACAGCCGGCAGCCGTCCCAACCACTCGTGTCTAGGGTTTAGGGTTCAGAACCGGGACAATCCTTCCCTGGAGCCGAAACCTCAACCCTGCATTAACGCACCAATACCTATGTTTTGTAGATTCTCGTCGTGAACCCAAATATAGAATTTAGAGGGACCCTACACAATACTTAGATATTGAAATTTTGGTAGGTTAAAGCAGACCCAAAAGCAGGCCATTTAGGCAGTTCTTTTCTTTAGGGCCCCGTTTTGGATCCCAACTATAGCACCTGATTAGAACTACAGCGCCAGCACTGAATAAGAAAACATTGAATAAGAAATCCAATCGCTGGATTTGGGAAAACATGTGCTAGAATCTGTCACAACCAAGCAAAACGAAATAAGAAATTCAGGGTCCCCTACCCCCGAAACCCAATTTCTTATCCAACTTCTTGAATGCTACCAGAAGCGCAGGACTGCAAACACGTTACAGTACCTTGAAATTTGGGCTGAAGGCTTCGGGATTTAAAGCATCAGGTTAAAGGGGACAGGAATGAGATGAGTACAGCACTGAGAGCCTTAAAGCTTGGCGGAAACCCCAATGGATGGGCTTAGGACAGTTTCGGAATTCGCCCGAAGGCAAGCAACAAAGTGAAGATTTGATATCCGGTCGCTTTGACGGGTGTAAGATTGCTGCAGCAAATCGGATATGGATTTCGCCCAAAAGCAGGGGAAACAGGAAATCCAGGGGCTGGATGTCGTATTTCCTGGGGTTTAATAGCCGACCCTAATATAGTACCCTAAAAAGTAGGATCCTTATTGTCAGGATCCCAAACTAAGGTACCCCTGATTTTCGGAAACTCCCAGGTTTACAGTATAAGCCCAAAAGTTGGAGTTTCCATCCTTAAGAGTAATGTATAGGGACTCCCAGCACTGTTTGGCCTTAACCCAGTTTCCAACTTTGTGGGGATTACTGTGCCATCCTGGGTCTGCAAGATGCTAGAACCCAGAGTAGGCCCCTTAAGAGAAATGTATAGGGTCTCTTATAAACCCTAAACCCTAAACCCTAAACCCTTATAACCATTTAAGGTTTATGTTCACCCACCCAGTGCGGGGCCTCCGTCGCCTTCTGAAGCAGACTGGCAGGGGCCTCTCGCCAGCCGGCTCTCAAAGGGGAAAAGGAGGGACCCTTAATGGGGACCCTTATATACCCTATAATGGGCTATATCATGGGTATATAATCGCTATATTAAGGGTATATACCTGGGGCATCACGGCTTTTATTTGGAACCCCCAAAACCCTAAAATCCTAAGCCCTAAAACCCGAAAGCCCGAAACCCCAATCCCAACGACTTTTGGAGTCTAGGAGTTAGGAGTTTAAAGGTTTAGGGATTTAGGGGTTTTAGGGTTCAGGCTTTTCGGGCTTTTTTACTAAGCATGACGTACTAAGTCTTGCTTATTCATTTGGCATTAGGGGGTAGTGTAGTGCTTATTCGTCTGATTAATATTCTGCTTCTTGATATTATTCTTGTTATTGCTATTGTTCTTATATTCCGAGTGTTAGTCTTCTCATTATTCTTGTTAATGCTCTGAGTAGTACTTGTATTCGTCTACTGTGCTCCTGTTCTTATCATTCGTATGATTCGTCTTACTGGCTTACTATTTTTGGTCTTCTTCTTTTGTTTTGCGGATTTGCAGTGCTGAGATGGGACATCAGGTTTAGGGTTTCGGGTTTCGGATCGACCGTTGTGGCTCCTATGGATTGAAACCTGCCACGGCGTCAAGCCTGAGGTGCTCACTGCTGTCCGTTGTGATTTGTAGTGGGGCTCGTCTTGCAGAAATTACTAGACCTGCACGCGCAAATGCCAACTCGCCGGCACAAGCAAAGCTGATGCGGCCGTCGGTAGTGCCCCAAATCTTTAATGACAGTGCCAACAACAGACAAGAGCAAGAAGACACCTTCAGCTGCAACATGAAACTCTGAAAAAGGCAACCCCGAAACAGCACCCCTGCACCAGAAGCCCTTAAGGAGCCCAGCACCAGAAACCCGAGCCTCAAATATGTACATCAACATCATCAGAAAGACTTGAATGAACCAGAGACGAGCTCGCAAAAGCCAAACCTTGAGCTCTAAGCCCCAAAACTAAGCTTAGAACACCTGTAGCCACCGAAAAACCCTGTAAACCTTATAAGCGAACAAAAGCACTCCAACATCCGATAAAACCTTACAGGGCTCTATTAAGGCTCATAGTAAGCCTTTACCACCGTCAAGCACAAAAAAAAACACAATGACAACACCATAAAGCCTTTCGACCCTCAAAGAAACCTTGCGGACCTTGTCACCGAGAAAGCCCAAGGCCGTCAACGCTGAGTAGCGCAGGCGGTCGTCGCCCAACCTTTAGCCGTAAACCTTAAAACCCTGAACCGGAGCAGTAGGAGTCCTAAACCCTAACCCCTAAACCCCTAAAACCCTGAACCGGAGCAGTAGCAGTCGGAGTAAGAGTAGCAGGAGGAGCCGGAGCCTGTGAAACCAAAAGCCAGCAGCAGTAGGGAGGAGGAGGAGGAGGAGGAGGAGGAGAATTTACTCCCCCAATAAGCCACAGAAACAAAAGGTTATATAAACTGTCCGTGTCCTATGAAAATTTAAGAACCCAAAAAAAGTTTCAAGGTTGGGTATTGGGTAACTTGGACTAAGAGGAGGAAGGATGAGATTTGGGGATACAAATGGATCATGGTGAGGTTGTGGGGAGATCGGGTTCGGGGTTGGGGCAGGAGAATGCGGAGCTTCGGGGACTAGGGTTGGACATTTAAGCAATGCACGTCACGTGCGTGGTCGGTTGACTATACTGAACTTAGAACCCTAGCAAAAAAATTAGCTGTTTCTTAGGGATTATAATAACCAAAAACTAAAAAATTGTTTCTAAGTACCCTTATGTGGCTCGGTGTGGGGCTCATGTGTTCCATGGTTGCTTGGAAGCCAAGCTCTGGATGTCCAGCATGAAAAGTAGGGTGGGCTAGTACCCATATGGCCTAGCAACCCCGTGTAACCGTGCACCCTACATCGAAATCAGGGACACGGCGATAACCTTAGCAAAAACTATTCACGTGGTTCTCGAAAGCAAGCGTGCTGCGGTGTTGCGTTTGGGATTGCCTTGGGTTTTTCGATGGCGCCATAACCCTAAACCGCTTCTGCACAAAACACGAAACACACAACCCAATCTGAAGAGCGGATGTTAACAAACAGTTTAGGCTTTGCGGTGTACTTGGACAACTGCAGCAGCCACATGGAAGTTTCAGAAAACTCGGACCCCAATCTAGAATACAAACTACTAGAACTTTAACGGAGCCAGCATTTGCCGAAGCCCCGACAAAGAAGAGACAAAAGAGCCTGTCGACCTTGTCTGGAAGAACGTCTCGGAAGTTGGTGCAGCAAGCAACATAGTGAGACAGGCTCGTGCTCTGATCGATCGAAGATCAACTCAAAATTTGGGCCTTGGGTTTAGAAGCTTGGAACCCTAAACCCTAGTTAGGACAAGCTTCCCAGGCTTGTACCCGCGATTAGTGCATGCTTCGCCACATGCCCGGGGGGGACTTTCAACACTCAACCTGGACCTGTGGCCCAAAAGACCTAGCCTTTTAAGGAACTATGTGGGTGGTTGTCAAAGCTAGGGGTCCCTTTTTGGGACCTTAATATAATGCGGCACCTATTGACCTATTGTTTAGCGACAACCACCCAGAAAAAACGGTAGGTCTTTTTCGGCTACGGTATGTCGGACCCTACCTGCCGAGGCACATCTCAGCCAGCTTCTTCTCACGGGCATCTTCCGGGAAGCAGCTTTCCTGGTCCGAGGACACGGAAGATTTTGTCAGGGTTTCACCGGAAGCCGTCATGGACCTGTAAGCTTCTTATGTGCGAGGGACGGGGGAGATCCGCAGAATAAGGCTGTGCTCCCTCTACTCAATCCACAGAATGACACGTAGAGCGTCAGATGAACGCATATTTATATCATACCTCGCACACTCCAAAGCCTCACGCCCCCAGCCTCTGCCCAAAGGCTTCAATATCCCTGTCATACAGAATACGCATCCCTAAACCCTAATTAAACCCCTAAACCCTAAACCCCTAAACCCCTAACCCCCAAACCCCTAAACCCCTAAACCCAGAAAATAACGCAGGGATCCGCTCTTTAAAAGCGACCCGCAATCCAACGCGAAGCCTCTGGGTCAGGTCCTTGATGAGGGGGCTAACCAGAGAGGCCAATACCCCCTAAATAGCTTAAATCATACTATCAACCCCTTATAAATTGAGGTATATTCCTTAATTAAGGGGTATTGGGCTTTCTGGGAACATACTTAATCCAACATTCCGCCGATGTTATGTACGTATATGGGTAGTTGTCAAAATTAGGGTTACTTTTTTGGATACCCTCAATAGGAGGTGCCGTATTTTTAATAGGGAGCCGAAAATGGAACATAATTTTCACAACCACCCATATGCATACACGCATATACATATGAGCATACGAGTATATACACACACATAACTTCGTGTCAAATTGAAAACACATAGATAATGCATGCGCAAACGAGTGTAAATGTAAAATGTAAAATACAAAAATAACGAAAGACCACACATTAAAGGGACCCAAAGACACAAACAAAAGTCCGAAGGAAAGCCTCGTTAAAATCCGAACCCACCGGAAAATCAAAGCCTAAAACCCTAAACTTTAAACCCTGACCCCTAAACCCTAAACCCCTAAACCCTAAACCCTAAACCCTAAAACCCTAAACCCTAAAGCCGAAAATCCTAAACCCTACACCCTCAAGCCCTGGAGCCTGAGCCTGATACCCCAAAACCTCCAATCCTAAGCCGTCAAGCTGAACTCTTAAACCCTAAGCTGTTAAACCCTGAACCCTCAACCCTAAACCCTCAAACCCTAAACCCTTACACCCTGAACCCTCAACCCAAAACCTGAAACCCTAAACCCTTAAGCCCTAAACCCCTAAAGCTTCGAGGGAGGCACTGCTTCGGCCGTCAGGGAGGCCAGCTGCGCTAAGGCCTCGAGACAACAAGGGGCTGCTCAGTACTGCAGTACCTATAGTCTCCAGTGTAGTTCCTTTTTGGGGTTTCGTTTTAGGATCGTTAACATAAAATTGGTTATATAAACCCAAAAAGGAACTACAATCATACTATAGGTAGCTAATAGTATCTTATAGTACACCATAGTACCTTATCACATCGTACCTTATAGTACCTCATATAGTAACAAGTATCTCTCATAGCACATGCAAGCAAATTAATGTGTAAAAAGTAGCTTACAGTATATAGGGGTTAGGTCGTGGGTTTTGCGCTTAACCGAGACCGGGCGTAGTCGATCCTCTTCGCATTTGGGTGTCTGCATTCACAACATGCAGCAGTTGTTTCCAATGCGCGTGCCTTAGCTCGTGTCGCAAGAGTAGCCTAGACAGCGGATTTAGGCTTTATCGGGTTTAGGGGTTTAGGATTGTCCCTAAATCTGTAAACCCTACAGCCTTAAAGCCTACGACCCTGAAGCCCCGCACCTCGAAAGCCCTTAACGCCCTAATGCCTAAAGCCATGGATAACTACAGTTATAAACCCATAGTAACGGACTTATAACCCCACTGATAAGTACCCATGAAGGTGGCTGTCAAAATTATGGTCCCCTTTTGGGTCCCTAATATAATACGGCACCTAATATTTAGGGTACCCAAAAAAGGGACCCTAATTTTGACGACTACCCATGAACCTCCAAGTATTTATACATACAATAACCCCGGAATCCTGACGTTCAGGACCCCTGAAAGGATCGAGCTTAAAGTTGAAAACCCCAACAAGGGCTTTAGGGTTTAGGGGTTTCGGGCTTTAGGGTTTAGGGGTTTAGGAGTTGAGGACTTTAGGGGTTAGGAGTTTAGGGTTGATAAGTTTTAGGGTTGAGAGGTTCAGGGTTTAGGGTTGCGAGCTTTGGGGGTTGCTTAAACCCGGAACTCCAAGGGTTGTCGGCCTCCACAGCGATGCCCTGGACCTCTGGGACCTGCAGGAGATTCGGGCTTAGGTTCGGGTTCAGTGTTTAGTGTTTAGGGTTTAGGGTTCAGGGTTTAGGGTTTAGGGTTTAGGGTTTAGGGTTTAGAGGTTTAGGATTTAGGGTTTAGGGGTTAAGGGGTTCGGGTTCAGGGTTTAGGGTTTAGGGTTGGGGGGATTCGGGGCTCCTCGGGGTTTTGAGGGTTGGACCATAGTATTGCTTGGGTACGGCCCCCACTCAGTAGTTGTTGAATAATATTCATAGTATAGATGTATTAGGACCTTTATAGTAGCCCTATTAAAGACTCTTACTGTAATTCGGGCAGTACCTAAAGTATTGCTGTTGTTGTTCCCTGTGACGTTTTTGCACCGGCTACCTCTAAGCGCGGCTCACTGGCTCCCAAAACCAGAATTTTTTTGGCCGTGCCGAGGAAGGGAAGTGACGAATCCCACGTGCGTAATCACTGGCAGCCCAGGATTTGCAGCAGTGAGTGCGAGGCTTATTTCAAGTCCACCTACGAGCGCATACAGTGGACCTTACTAACCTAGAGGCTCCAAATATGGTACCATTATGGAATTAGGTCCCCAAAGCCATGATATGGATGGTCTTTTGGGACCTAATTCCATAATGGTACTATATATGGAGCCTCTGGGTAACTATTAATTTCACCCCCTCGCCCAAAAAGCAACATCCAAAAGGCATATGACAGCACCATGGCGGTTCCGGGCTGGATCTGTTTCTTGAGGTTCTCCTGCTAGGGCCCCAGTAAAGACTAGCCTATGGAATAGGTGCGTACGATGACAAAATCTGGGACTTGGGCTGAACCTAAACATTGAAAACTCAATACCAAATCGTGAATCCAAAGCCTACACCCTGGAATGCTAAACCGCAAAGCCTACATCCTAAAACCATCCTAAAGCCCCAAAATCCGTCAAGCCCCAGCTTCAAACCCCATCACCCCAAACCCCCTAATGCCGTGGCCCTAAACCCCATAATCCTGAACCCTAAAACCCTTTACGACGTATTATAGGGTGATAGTAACCCTTATAGAACCCTTAAAGGACCCCTAAACCCTGCACACCTTCTCGGTTTGAACGAGATCAGCAATCGCGAGGGCCTGCTCACGGCATGCGGCAAAGCAATCCGAACTCGGCCCGGTTCGGGACGTTCAGGGTGTTTGGGGTTTGGTTCAAGGGTATGGGGCTTCAGCTTATGGGGTTTAGTGTTATAGGTCTTCGAGGGTCCTACGTATGGCTTAGGGTCGTGGCTTGGGCTTCGAGGTGCGTTGTATTTTTTCCGGCGTCGGATGCTCGGGAAGCTGTTGGGGGTCTATGTAATTCCGGGGCGTTGCATGCCACCCTAAACCCTGAACCCAGGTTTTTCATTGAAAGGACAGACATCAAAAACCCTAAACCCTAAACCCCTGAACCCAGGTTTCGATTGAAGGGACAGACATCAAAACCCTAAACCCTAAACCCCTGAACCCCAGGTTTTGATGGAAAGGACAGACATTAAAACCCTTAAACCCTAAACCCCAGGTTTCGATGGAAAAGGACACATATCAAGTCGTGGGTCAATTAGGTTCCGTTCCATCTGGCACTTCAGTTCCGGCTCGAGATTTAGGGTTTGGGGTTCAGGCGTTAGGGTTTAGGGTTTAGTGCTACACACCACCCTAAAAACTAAACAAAACCCAGAAGCCCGCCAGCCCCAAATCCCGAAACCCCAAAGCACCACACCCAAAACCTCCTGCAATACGACAGTATTGAGAATTGTTCAATACCCAATACTATTATCATAGGCCCTAACTTGCCTGAGAATTCTTTGTCCTTCTCAGCGTCCTGAGAATGGCGCCATCCAAGGCTCCCCCATCGGGAGGTCGATGTCAAACGGGAGTTTCCGAAAATTAGGGCTACCTGATTTAAGGTCCTTATCATAAGGACCCTATTATTTAGGGTACTATATTAAATATAGGGTCCTTATCATAAGGACCCTGTTATTTAGGGTACTATATTAGGGTCCCCCGAATTTCGGAAACTCCCGAATCCGGGGGCCTGTGCAGAGCTGTCAGCCCGGCACTTCTCTGGTATCCATCGGGAAGTCGTCGTAGAGAACCCCACCGATCACTCTGCACCAGCAGGTCGCTGAGTGGAGCAGACTGCGGCTGATCCTGTTGAGGCCGTAGACCGCTGAACAACCTCCGAAAGGCAAACTGTTGCTGATGAAGTAACGGTAGGCACCCGAAGTCGGCTCACGCACAAGAAGCACAGCAAACTTGAGGCTTTCCGAAGACAGAGGCACTTGTTTGTATGCCTTCTCGAGGTCAAGGCAACGGCCTACTTGGAGGGTCGGGGGACGTAGTAAGTAGGTAGTAAGTAGACTTATAAGTACCCTAAAAGGGACCCTAATTGGGGTTATGGTACTTATAAGTCCTTAAAATAACCAGTTACTAAGTCCCCCGACCCTCCAAGTAGCCAGGTGCAATCACGACCGAAGTCTGGCTGATCCTCCCCCGAAGCCCTTCACCACTCCCGAGGTGAATCGCAGAACCCTGTCTTCCATGGCGCCCTGGCTCTTAAAGGGAACTCCAGAAAGTTGGAATATGGTTTCAGGGTAGGATACCCTATCATAATTTACCATAAAGGGCTTAGGATAACCATATTCCAACTTTCTGGCTTGTACTTTAGTAGGGAGCGGGGCAATGGATTCCTATGATAGTCCTTTAATCAAGCATTTTTGCAACTGCTAATATGATTATCGCTCTGTTTACTACTATCCTTATGGTTCGTAACATTATTAATATGTTACCTATTTGTACTCTCCTTCTTCTTACTAGTATTATTGTGATTTAGATCCCGTATAGTAGTCCTTACCTGGACTCTACACATCATGAAGAAGAAAGGTTGTTTGGGGCTCATAATAAGGTAAACCTCAAGCCCTACACCCTAAACTCCAGAAAGCCTCATTATAAATGTCATGAGGATTATTCTTGCTGTTGCTATTGTGAGTTAGATCCCGTATTGCAGTCCCCAAACCCTAAACCCCAAAAACACTAAATCCTAAACCCTAAACTCCTAAACCCTAAAAACCCTAAACCCTAAAAACTCCTAAACCCTAAAAACCCTAAACCCTAAAAACTCCTAAACCCTAAAACCCTAAACCCTAAAAACCCTAAACCCTAAAAACTCCTAAACCCTAAAAACCCTAAACCCTAAAAACTCCTAAACCCTAAACACCCTAAACCCTAAAAACTCCTAAACCCTAAAAGCCCTAAACCCTAAAAACTCCTAAGCCCTAAAAACCCTAAACCCTAAAAACCCTAAACCGTAGCCGAATCCCCCATCCCCTGCTCAGAACGACGGAAAGCGAGGAGGGCTTTGGCCTGACGCGTGGCTTTGAGGGCTGCGAGTGTTCCTCGGTTGAGAGCGGGTTTGGGGGGTTCCTTAAAGGGTTCCTGAAAGGGTTCCTTAGAGAGTTCCTTAAAGGGTTCCTATAGGTTCCTGAGAGTTTCGGGTTTGGGGGTGAAGGGGTTAGGGGGTTAGGGGCCACCCTAAACCCTAAAGCCTAAACCGATTTAGGGGTTTAGGGATTTAGGATTTAGGGTTTAGGTGGGGCTTAGGGCTTCAGAGCGTCAGACCTGAAGGATTTGCCCCTGCACTAGACTTTAAGCCTAAACTGCAATACCGCTCAATCTCCTGATGTAATGAAGCTCCCAGCCCTAAACCGTAATATAGGGGCCTCACTAATTAGAGTAGGGTCTGGGATTATCTTATACTATAGTCGTAGCAAGGAACCCCTAAGAATAATGTTGATAAAATTAATTCAGCCCCCCAACTTACCGAGAAGGCATCGCCGAGCGGCGGAGAGCGGCGCTACGGACCGCAACGCTGCGGGTGAGGCATGCTGCGACCTCCGTGGTTCCCGATGACTAGGGCCTAGGGATTTACGGAGTTCAGGGTTGTATGGCTCGTGGTCTGCTTGGAGGTTCATGGGTAGTCATAAGTGGGGTTACAAGTCCCGTAATATGGGTTATAACTATAGTTATCCTACTTATAATGAACCTCCAACTAGGATGGTCTGGGACTTGGTGTTTTGGGGTTTGGTTAGGAAACATCCAGTACTGTGGCCTGGTGTTCTCTCGGGACTTTTTTAGAAGCCTAGTTCGTAATTTTTTCCTTCGGGTTCCTCACTGTATTATGAAGAATTATACTATAAAGGAGAACAAAACCCTATTCTAAATTTCCTTACTGAAGTATGAATATACTATAAAGGAGCCCAAAACCCTGTTCTAACTCTGACTATTCAGGCCCCTACATCAGGCACATGGCTTTAGGGCCTTAGGGAGCTTACGGCTCGATGCGGGGTTGGACTCCCCAAGTACCCTTTAAACGGCTCGAATATTCCCAGGGAGCCCAAGACCCCTTTAATTAAGGAATATGGCTTAAAAACATATTATGCGTCCCCTTATAATTTAAGGTATATTCCTTAATTCGGGGTACTGGGCTCTCCGGGTTTCCCATTAAGAAGTAATTCGAGGCTACAATAAAGGGTAGTTGGGGGTCTCTCTTACCGTGTCTGGGCGTCTTTCATAGTATACTTGTAATAGGGTTTTGGGCGTCTTTATAGTATACTTATAAGAAGGAACCCTATAAGTATTTAAGCTTCCATGTTAGTGTTCTATGTTTTGGGGGGTTTGGGCGGGTGTGGGATTCTCGGCTCGAGCGCTTGGATTCTTGCACTGCGTGGAAACGTCTGCAGCCACCCCTGAAGCCGAATGCACGGATTGAGGGTTTAGGGGTTTAGGGTTTAGGGGTTTAGGGTTTAGGGTTTAGGGGTTTAGGGTTTACGGCCTCAACAGTCAGAATAGGATGTTCAAGTAAACTACAGCACACATATGGGCCTAGGGTTTATGGTCTAGCATCAATATGTGAATTAAGTCTGGCTTGTAGATTAGCAATGAACCGTGAACCTCATGGCCTGTCGGATCACGACGGCCTTTCGCGCTGGCTGGATCAGTGGGCCTGGGAGAAGAGAGCTTGAAGGCTTTGGGTTTATAAAAAGTTTATAACCTTTTTTGGGGGCCTCCTTACGTAGAGCAGGGTTTTGGGACACTGCTGTTTTTGTGCTGGGGTTCGAGGTTCCGGGTGTCCGGATGCTGAGTTACCACATGGCACCCACAAGGCATTGCAAAAGGAAGCTCGACAAGCTCCCGAGGCAGGCTTCTGTAGCCTGTTCCACAACTGCTTCCCAGAGACTCCAATATCTCTTAATTAAGGAATATTCCGTAAATCATATTAGGGATACTACCAATATTCCTTAATTAAGGGATATTGGAGTCTCTGGGTTCGAGTCTAGAATCACCAATCAGCTGGTTCAGGTGGCGAATGGCTGGCGACTGAACACTCCCGCCCGAAACCATCACGCAAATAGAACAAAACTCTAAAACCTAAACTCTAAACCCTAAACCCTAAACCCTAAACCCTAACCCTAAACCCCCGACCCTGGAGCCCGAAGCCCAAAACACAAAAACTAAATCCCGGCCCCAAAAACCCTGACCCCATCACCCTGACCTTTAACCGTAGACAATTAACCAACAAAGACGTGTACACCCGCCAGCTCCCCAAAAACGGTTTAGGGTTCAGGGCGGGTTGCGGGTTTAGGGCTTTGGGCGTTGGGTCTAAGCCGTAGGGCTGTAAGAAGAGATCGAACAACCCTAGCCACTCGCAGATGCCAAGAGCTGGGCCCAACCGTGCCAGCGCACGCAGCCCGGCCACAATGACAGAGTCCTTTACCGGGAAGCCTAAACTCTGAACCTTAAGCCCTAAACCCCAAGCTGTAAACCCTGCACCGGAAAGGTTCAAGATTCAGGAGTTCGAAGACGAAATCCGGGCAAAAACCTGCATTACCAATCTAGAGGCATAGAGGTCACACAAAAGAACTTCCAATAGATTGTACGGGAATGCTAGTACTGCTACTAGTATGTGTAGGGACGAAAAACGGCTGTTATTGCTAATGAAACCCTACACTAGGCTCTCGTGCTTTCGAAGATTGAAGACCACAACGATTGAGTATCGTGACTATGTCGGTCCCTGTTGGAAGGAGCAGTCTACTTTCGGGTAAACCAGAATACCGCTTCGGGTGTCTGGTATACCCAAGGGTAGAAGGACGGACCCTTAATAAGGACCCCTAGGTATATACCCTTAACATAGCTATTAATATACCCATTATACAGCCCATTATAGGCTAGGGGTCCCCATTAAGGGTCCCTCCTTTTCCCCTTTGAGGTATACGCTCCACGTCAGTTCAGCTCCCAAGCGGAGGAGCTGCGTGGAGCCCGTGGCGTTCTTGAACGGTACTATAGGGGTTACCTACACTATTTTCGGGGATTCCTTATTAAAATTGCGGTATAATGGGCCCCAAAACCCTATTCTAATTGTTATGTAAGGCCCCTATATTATGGTGGGGGCCCCTTCTATTGTCAAACCCTCAACCCCACACTGGAAACCCCAAAACAACGGTTTCAATAGGGGCTTTTGGGGATTGTCCCCCGAAACCTAATAAACCCTAAACCCAACCTAAATCCCAAAATTCAAAAATCAGACTCCCCCCTAAACCCTCTAAACCCTCTGAACCCTAAACAGCATAAACCCCTAAAGCCCTCATACCCCAAACCCGCTTCATTGTCCGTCCTCCGATCGAAGAAGCAGGCCTAGCAATGCCTCGCCATGACCAGGAGGCTTCCAGACTTCCCTAAGCGCAGAAACTCCAAAACCCTAAACCCTTACTAAGGCTCTAAAGCCCATCATACACCCTAAAGCCTAACACCTTAAACCACCATACACTCTAAACCATACTGACACCCTAACACCCTAAAACCCTAACACCCTGAACCCAAAAACCCTAAAACCCTAAAACCCTAAACCCTAACACCCTAAACCCAAAAACCCTAAAACCCTAAAACCCTAAACCCTAACACCCTAAACCCAAAAACCCTAAAACCCTAAAACCCTAAACCCTAACACCCTAAACCCAAAAACCCTAAAACCCTAAAACCCTAAACCCTAACACCCTGAACCCAAAAACCCTAAAACCCTAAAACCCTAAACCCTAACACCCTGAACCCAAAAACCCTAAAACCCTAAAACCCTAAACCCTAACACCCTAAACCCTGAAGCCCCAGAACTCGAAATCCCTGAGCTCCAGAGCCGCCCCCCGGCCGAAAAGTAGACGGGCTCAAAGTCTATGGGGCGGCTATGGAAATCGAAAGCCAAGGGAAATCGAAAGCCTCTTGGGGTTTAGGGTTTAGGGTTTAGGGGTTTAGGGTCCAGGGGTTTAGGGGTTAAGGGTTTAGGGGTTTGGGGTCTAGCCTGGTTTCGGGGGGCCACCACAAACATCAAATAATGCAGGGGGCATAGGTATCAGGATAGCATTTTGTGATCTCCCCTCCTGCAATCATAGAAAGGGACCGAAGGAACAAAATTACCAGCTTCTGGTGGTGAACTCGTTTGCTATAAACCCTGAGTATTATGATTGATGGTTGTTCAAAAGTGTGATCACTTCAAAACCATCTAACATGCCTGAAAGAGAACTCCAATTGTCCCCCAACCTCATTTGCGATGTCCAAAGCAGGGCGGGTGGAGCTGACACACGGCAGGGGTAAAGCAAGAAAGGCAGCACTTTCAACAACCCTAAAACTTGAAGAAGCAAAAAGACCGACAAAGCGGGCCAGGCACAAGACAGACGGTTTATAGAGGCCGGAGATCGAGAGTTTCAAACAGGTGGGTTTTACGTTGAAGGCACCCTAAACCCCCAAACCCCTCAACGCTGAATACCGAAACCCTTTCATGGGCTTTCACAGGCTCATAAGCTGAAGGTGTTGGGTTTCGGGATGCTTCGGGCTCAATGTTTAGGGTTCGAGGGTTTAGGGCCCTGGGGGTTTAGGGTTTGGGATTTGGGGTGGGTTTCGGTCTCGATGTGCAGGGTCCTGAGGGTTTAGGTTCAGAGGGTTTCGGCTTCAAATCAAGAGCCCTATAAGAGTCGTGTAAATCCCTAATTAAGCCGAAACCCTTCCGCTACGATCCTTTCGCTTCGCCCGAATCAGCCCTAAACCCCAAACCCGAAACCCTAACCCTAAACTCTAAACTCTGTAGAGTCCGCAAGTTAGTAGAAAGTCCCGAAACCCTCAGCCGGTTCGCCTCTTCGTGGCGTTGGCCTGCCGCCCCGGAGGCTGCGAAGGCCTTTCAGGGGTTTAGGGTTTAGGTTTAGGGGTTACCTGGACCCTACGGAACCTACCTTTTCAGGGTTCCCTAATATGATTTCTTTATATAAGTCCTTAAAAGGGTAGGTTACTTGGGGTACAAGTAGGCTTACTTGGAGGGTCGGGGGACTTAGTAACTGTTTGTTTGAAGGACTTCTAAGTACCATAACCCCGTTTAGGGTCCCTTTTAAGGTACTTATAAGTCTACTTACTACCTACTTACTAAGTCCCACGACCCTCCAAGTAGGGTTTAGGGCAGCCGGGAAGGACCCAACCCCTCGAAGGAAGGTTAAGTGGTGCACTTTTGGTTCTGCAAGGGTTGTGCAGCGCGGTTTCGTGCTTATTAGGGCTACTAGGGCTTAGGGCTTAAGGTTGGGCGTTTCAGGCTTGTTAAAAGTTGGGCTCGGGTTAGCAATCGGGCTTGGAGTTTCTCCCATAAGCATCGAACAGATCCTGGGGCCTGCGGTTCTGCATGAGATGCTGTTGAAGTTTCTTACATTTATGTCTTCAGAGAGGGCTCAGCCCAACAGTGCAGACCCACTACACCTCTAGACCCTAAACCCTAAACCCAAAACACAAAACCCTAAATCCTAAACCCTAAACCCTAGACACAAACCGTAAGACGACTCATCCTCAACCCTAAACGCCAGCCTGAACCCCTAAACACAAACCCAAAACCATAGACCCTAAACTCCCTAAACCCTATAAATACCTCACTCTGCATTTAGGGCTTGGGGTTTTAGGGTTTAGGGCTTAATTCGGGGGGTTTAGGGCTTCTGGGTTTAGGGTTTAGGGGATTCGGTCTCGGGTTGTAGGGTAGCCTGTTGTTGTTATCGCAACCGAGGCCCAACAACTCTGGCGACGCCGTCTTCCCAAGCTAAACTCAGGGTTCTTTTTTTGTTGTTTTTAAGCGCCTCTTTTCCAACTCGCTGTTCGGTCGCCAGAAATCCCTGAGGGGGAAGGCAAGGTGAGCCGCTTTAGGGTTTAGGGTTTAGTTTAGGGTTTAGGGTTTAGTTTAGGTTTAGGGTTTAGGGGTTCTAAACCCAAATCCCACATCCCTAAACCCTAAACCCGAAGGCCCAGGAGGCCTCAGCAGCCGCGACGGCCACCGTCGGATCTCGGTGCCTGGCACCAGCAGGGTGTGAGGGCCCAGGAATCAGTCGTTGGGGGTGTACAGTTTCAGGGTTCCCAGAGACTCCAATATCCCTTAATTAAGGAATATTCCTTAAATCATAGTAGGATCCCTAACATAATTTAAGGAATATTCCTTAATTAAGGGATATTGGAGTTTCTGGGTTTCAGGTCTACTTGGAGGTTCATGGTTAGTTATAAGTAGGGATAAGTATACTTAGCCCCGACCTGGACCCCTTAGAAACCTACCTTTTTATGGAAAGGAGCTTATAGCTCCTTCAAACCCTAAACCCTAATTTAATCCTAAACGCTCCTTATGCAAGTCCCTAAAGAGGTAGGTTATCTGGGGTTGCTTGTTTTTCTAAAGATCCTGAAACCCAGACCTGGGCCCTTGGCTGCTGCGGCCTGAGATCCCCGCCTGAAGCTGCGTTTAAACCTTAGAGCAACCCTCTGTAAGCTCCTGAATCCTGAAGTAAAACAAACAAGACCCCCAGAACAGCACTAAGACATCAACCCCAACCCCCCCAAACCAACCCCGTGACTCTAAAAACCCAAACAAACAACAAGAAGTCACTAAACCCTAAGTCCTGCAGCTCACGCACAGCCCCGAACTTTTCTTGACCTAAGAACTTGGTCGCACAAGGCCTGAGAAGCCGTCCGATGCACTCTGTCACCTCCGCTGGGCAAATCCAGCTTTGAGACTCGGGGGGGATAGTAAAAAGGGTATAGCGGGCCTAACATAACTATATTACGAATATTATCCAACTGTCAGAGTTACGAATATTATCCAACTGTCAGAGTCTCGGAGTTCCCCCACCTGAACTCTACATATTAATATTGCTTCGCCAAGTGCCCTGATGAAAGATCCTAGCACCCCACATGGCAGCGTCGAACAATACGTAGGAGAAAACCACAACCCAGCAGCTGCTTGCAGTTTAGCGTTTAGGCCGGATGCAGGGAAACAGAATAGAGACACCAACACAGAATGATGGACGATCACCTCACCTATCAATACAGTCCGTGAACCCGTACTGACAAGAGTCAGAAATCCCAAAGCCCAAACTCTAGACCCTGAAGCCACAGTTAAGTGCCGAAACCCCAAAAACTCTTAAACCATCCAGAAACACTTGCCAATCCCTGTAACCTCTAAGCACAACATACCCATGAAACCCGTGAAACCTAGATCCCGATATGCGGAGGTCCGAAACCCTAGAGAAATGAACCGTCAAAAACTACAGGCCTAAATAAGGCTCAACCCAAGCCGTCATCCTGAAAAAGCCGAATATACAGTGGTTCTTAAAAATAGGATATCGTTCTGAGCTTCGACTGTAGCAAGATGAACCCTAGGGGAGGCCCCTATATACAGCCCCCAAGAGCCCGAAGTCCATGCCGAAAATCTCGAGGTGTGCCTGGAGGGTCTCGATCGTTGATCGGCCTGCTGCCGTCAGGTGATGAAGGAGGGGCACGACGAGATCCTGTCGGAGGCTTTCTTTCGTAGTTTAGGCTTTAGCTTTATTTATTGTGTGTTTTGTAGTAGGGGGAGGGGCTGCAGTTGGGCGGTCGTGATGGGTTTTGGGATGTTGTTTAGGGCTTTCGGTGTAGAGGTTTGGGTCGTTTATGGTTGACCGAAGGAACCGCCAACCCTACCATATTTACAAGCTTATAGAGCGTTTACAGAGGGCCGCCTGTATATCATAACCACGGAAAGAGTCGGTCGGGGGTGCCGTTGAGTGCTTCGAGTTTGGAGGTTGGCGTTGGAGCTTGCGGTGGATGGTATATCAAAGGGGAAAGGAGGGACCCTTAATGGGGACCCCTACCCTATAATGGGCTACATAATGGGTATATAAATATAAAGGGTCCCTCCTTTGACCATTGGAGTATAAATCCTGCATTACCTTAAGAACCAGTAACCACAGGAATTATGGTATATTCCTTAATATGGATAATGCAGGATTTTTATCATCAACCGTTGTCGACCATGGAGCCGACAACCGAACCTCATTCTGAACGACGTGCGCCTGGGACACCACTTCATTCCCGCCGAAATTCAAGGCCACTAGTGGGCCGGAAGGCCTCCGCGACGAAGCCTCGCATGGCTTGATTTCAGCCTGAACTGAACTAAACCCTAAACCCCTAAACCCCTAAACCCCTAAACCCTAAACCCTGAACCACTCCGAACACGAATCTAGACCAGAAGCCGGGCAGCTGGGGCTGTAACCTAAAGTCGAGTAGTCGTAGGGTAGTAGCAGTAGTGTCATAGTAGTAGTAGTCGTAGTCGTCGTCGTCGTCGTCGTCGTCGTTGTCGTAGTCGTCGCAGTCGTCGTAGTAGTCGTAGTAGTCGTAGTGGTCGTAGTGGTCGTAGTAGTCGTAGTAGTCGTAGTAGTCGTAGTAGTCGTAGTAGTCGTAGTAGTCGTAGTAGTCGTAGTAGTCGTAGTAGTCGTAGTAGTAGTAGTAGTAGTAGTAGTAGTAGTAGTAGTAGTAGGCGGTCAAAGTAGCAGTGACAAGGAAACAGGGTAACGATGGCAGGAATGGCCAGCGCGATGATAGTAATGAAAAAGGCACCACCTACGCATGACATGTAGGGGCCTTAAGAATTAGAATAGGGTTTCGGGGCCCATTATACTATATTTCAAAGAAGGAACCTCCAAAATAGTATTGGTAGACTATTTAGGCCCCTATATTAAAAGCCTGTACCGTCCTTCTTGCCCCCGTTCAGCACAACTGCCACCTTGTCATGATCCACACCTGGCACGGCACGTGCAACCCTAAGCGCAAAGCCGAAGCCCTCACTCCAAGTCCTTGTAGAGCATACTGAGCTTGGAACCCTAGCAAAAATTATAATTTTAGCTGTTTCTTGGGGATTGTCATAACCAAAAATTACAACTTATTTTCTAAGTACCCCTAAGTCAAGTATCGATGTCTCCTGGGGACCGAGCGACATTTCATCTCTGAGTTGCTCAGAAATCAACTGACAAGCTCCTTTCTCTAGGCACAGACCCTAAACCCTAATTCTGAGCTTTTAAGTCACCAGGGAGAAAAAGTATAAACTTTGATTTCATAAGGGCTCCTTCAAGAAGGAAAGTATTAAAGTATGGTACTCCAAAGCCCAGAATGCCATGGCAGGGGTTCAGGCTTCAGGGGCCCGGAAGCCCCAACTATCTGGGTGGTTGTCAAAATTATGGTCCCTTTTTGGGTCCCTGATATAGTACGGCATGTATTATTTAGGGTACCCAAAAAGGGACCCTGATTTTGACAACTACCAATCTGCAAACGACCAGGCAATGCGAAGTCGGCCCGTGAGATGATCTGCGAAGATGAAACGAAGCCAGACCTAGGGTTTAGGGTTTACCCTAAGGCTCCATAATAATTCCTTTTTGGGGTTTCATATGTAGAATCCTATAATCCTATAAGGGAATCCCAAAAAGGAACTACTATGGAGCCTCTGGGTAAAAGGGTTTAGGGCTCAGAGTTCAGTAAGGACTAAAATCCGGAATCAGGCACCCCCTAATACCGCAACACTCATCCCAACAAATAAGCCTCGAAGAGCCTGGACCCACCCAAACTCCCGAACCCAGGGGCCCTTAATAAGGAGCCCTAGGTAGTATACCCATAGTATAGCCATTTTTACCCATTATATAGCCCATTATATCCTAAACCCCAAACTATCAATATAGCCCCTTATGGTCGTAGACCCCTAAACCCCAAAACCTTTAAAGCGGCGCCGAGGATGCTGAACTTGCCGAAGACTGGCTTCGTTGGCTGCAGGCGGAGGTTTACCTGCTTCAAGCACCGGTCGCTGCGATACTGCCATTTGGGGTTCAGGGTTTTAGGTTTTAGGGTTTGGGGTTTGGGGGTTTTGGGGGTTTTGGAGATTCAAGGCTCATGGGATCTTACGTCTTTGGGCCAGGGTGTTTGGGGCCAACAGGGGCCTTACGAGGCTGTGGGCTCAGGGTTTGGATGGAGGGCCTTAGAGGTCTAGGGTTTATTAAGGGTTCAAGGGTATACAGTCCTGTTTTGGGGAGTTTGGTGTTTTGCCTGAGGATGCTACGGTGCTCCGAATATGACCCTGGTGCTGTCGGTTGCGGTCGTGATGGCTGGGTCGTAGTGTTCAAAAGTGGAGTGCAATATCTTGTTAGACAGGGGGTTTCGCGTTATGCTCTAATATACCTACATAGGCACTACAAGGGGATGTTATGACATTTATGACGAAACCCTAAACTCTAAACCCCAAACCCTAAACTCTAAACCCTAAACCTCAATGTCCCTGAACCCTAAACCCTAAACTCTAAAACCTACACCCCAATGTCCCTGAACCCTAAACCCTAAACTCTAAACCCTAAACCCCAATGTCCCTGAACCCTAAACCCTAAACTCTAAACCCTAAACCCCAATGTCCCTGAACCCTAAACCCTAAACTCTAACACCTAAACCCCAATGTCCCTGAACCCTAAACCCTAAACTCTAAACCCTAAACCCCAAATCCCTGAACCCTAAACCCTAAACTCTAACACCTAAACCCCAAATCCCCTGTTGGGTTCTGGCCCGCTGTTGTCTGCTCGGTTGACAGGCTGGAGTCCTTCAGGCTTCGGATCGGTCAACGGCTTTGAACATCTCCGGGCACTCTGGTGCCTTGTGACCGTCATTCCGCTTGCAGTAAAAACAGGTAAGCCATGCTTTCTTGAGCCACTTTTCAGGTACATTCTTTAACTTTTCAGCTGGCGGCTCTCCTTCAGGTTCATTCGGCTTCTGCTGCCCGAGATCCACCTTCTTTTCCTTCTCTGTCAATCCCTGCTACTTCTTCCACATACGCTTTTCATAACAAGGGGCCCCCCTACTCCATGCGGCCATCCATGCATGTTCGACCTGTAGCCCCAAAAACCTTGCAAAACTGTAGGTTTTCACCTATTAATTATTATAGGGTATAACCCTTGAAACGATAGGGTTTCAGATTCCCAGGGGACTGCTAGCAGTGAGCCAGCAAGAACCAGTTGCCATGGAACGGGCAAGCTGCGCCCCCCTGCAAGCCCTGAACCCTAGACCCTAAACGGCCCTGAACCTCTAAACCTCTAAACCTCTAAACCCCTAAACCCCTGAAACCCCATACCCGTGAACCCCCAAAACCCTAAACACCTATGAACCCAAGTGTCCCAAGTGCCTGCCCACTTTTCGGAGCAACCAGCTGCAAGGCCATGACCCTGCAAAAGGCGCTCCGTGGCTTCTCGGATCGAGGGGGCCCGTTTTGCTACGGTCCGGTCGAGGAGTTCGCGTTTGGGTAATCCCGAAACCCTAAACCCCTACAACCCTAATCCCATAAACCCTAAACCCAAAGCCCTAAGCCCCAGATGACTCATGATACCCCTTCTCGACTGCTTCAAGATCATGGCCGCCTTGTCCAGGGCTTCGGATTGAGGTTTAGGGTTAAGGGGTCCAGGGGCCTGGTACCATCCGTAAACCCTAAGACCCCAAAACGCCAAACCCGAGACACTATAGACCCTGAACCCTGAACCCCAAACCCTGAAACCCCGAAACCTAAGGGTCGCGTTGAAGCCGCGGTACAACGGTTCCGTTGACGGCTGCTATAGGGGTTCCTTCAAGGGCTACTCTAAGCGATGGAGTATATACTTTTTCGGAACAGTTCTAACCTAGTAGGAACCCGGCAACAAAGAGGATCAGAATAATTTCGAATGTTATGCACTTATACTACTCGCTTCCCAGACCCTATTCTGATCATTAAGGCCCCCACGTTTAACACCCCAGTGGCCCTTACGGTATCATTGTATAGAACTTTTGAAGGAATCCTGAAAGGGACCCTAATCTAACGGATATGTCCGCATAGATTGCCACATGTGGGGTCTGGGATGAGGGATCCCATCCGCCTGAGATATCAGGGTTTAGAGACTGACTGGGGTTTAGGTTTTAGGGTTTATGGTTTACAGCTTATGGCTAAGGATTCAAGGTCTGCAAGTCAAGGGCTTGAGATTTAGGTCCGGGGCTTGTGGCTGCCAAGATGGACCCTCAACCCTCACTCCTGGCCCCTGACCCCCTAAACCCTAAACCGCCCTTGAGCCCCTTCCTCAGCCCCAAACTCTCTGACAGCTTCGGGAGATTTTAGCCAACCTCGCCCCTGCTAGGGTGTACAATGGGAGCCTAGATGATCTGATTAGAAGAGGCCAACTACTTTTTTGGTTATAAGTTATAAGGGGACTAAAGTAGAATAAGTACAAGTGTTGTTTACTCTAGTTTCATAAGACTTTTAAAACGGGATGTTATTGCTAGTTACTCAGATCAAGCCCCGATGCTGTGAGGCTTTGAGTCTTCTGAGAGCCCGGCAGAGATTCGCTCTGGAACAACCTGCTCCCCTCCGCTTCTACCCTAAAATCCTACAGTCCCTCAACCCGTACTTCTGGTCTGGGCTTTGGCCAGCCTGGCGCAGCTTGAAACCTATGATGTCCTACGCAGCATGTCTACGATGCCTTCAAGAAAATGCAAGATCTGCATGAGGTTTGCAACCGCAGCCACCCTGAGCTCTGAGTCGTCGCGGCGGCGGTTCGCACAAAAGTCTTCAATGCCAAGCACATCCGTGGGCCTCGACTGCCTCTAGCATACGGGTCTTCATATCAAAAAGAAGGCTCCTTTAAAGGGGTCTATAAGGGTTACTATGCGGGATCTATAGGATTACTATTTCATGGAGGCAGTAATAATCAGAACAGGGGTTTTGGGGTATATTGCTTGGAGGGTCGGGCGACTTCGTAAGTAGTTCCTTGTTGGACCTGATAAGTCCCATGACCCCAATTAGGATCCCACTTAGGGCACTTATAACTCTACCTACTACCTACATACTAAGTCAACCGACCCTCCAAGACTACTATAGTTATAATAAGGAACCAAAAGTAGGATTGGTAATTATATGGTCCCTATACTGGCCAAAACTCACCATTTTGGAGCCATTTCCTTGCGAACAGCTGACTGCTGCTAAGCTCTGTGAGGCACCGAAACCTTGCCAGGGTTGTGCTTTCCAGGCTCCCTCCTCTTAGTGTGTGAAGCTGAATCAGACTTCGACAGAACCACGATCATTCGCTGGCAATGCTTCAACCCTGAGGCACGGGGACACGGCGAGCCCGGATCGGCTGGACCGAGCATGTCAGTTCATGGCGGCATGAAGCCATTACACGACAGAGGGGGCCGAAAGGCGTCCCTAAAACCTATCGGAAACCCCCAAGAACATGAAGGCCCTAACCAACCCTGACAGACTACCGCAGCCAGCGAAGCAGCCGGCTCACTCTGCCGCACAGCTGGTGTTGCCAATGCTCCGCCATTTCTTTGGCCTGCGGGGTAGCCAGGGAACGCTTCGCAGGAACTCGAAGGTGTAACTAACCAATGGTTTGGGGGCTCCCTTGGCTCTTTAGCTCCTCGATTAAGTAGGGATTATCATCACCCCTGGCTCCTTTTCTCCTCCAATATCAATGGTTAGGTAATGTAAGGGCCTTCATAATCAGAGTAGGGCTCCACTATAGTATGATTATGGTAAGGAGCCCTAAGGAATAATCTTGGCAAGTATTCACTGGTTTAGGGTTTAGGGGTTTAAGGTTTATGGTTTAGGAATCAAGCTTCTATAGTAGGATCAATCCCAGAGCCGGGGAGATCGTGAGTCTGGAGCCCTAAACCCCAAGTTTGTGTTTGAGGGGGGGCTCCTTGGACTTAGGGTTTAGGGCTTTTTGGCGGCGGGAAGCAGGCAAACCCTAAACTTGCACTAAGCCCCATGTCACACAGGAGCCTGTATCAGTGGTGTGTGACTAGAGCTTGTGTGGTTTTTGCGGGTGATATCCCCAGAGTAGTGTTGACATAATGTGTTTCTTTTGTTCAAGGTAAAGAGATGGGAGCTTCCGAATATATGGGGACCCTAATTAATATAGCACCTAAATAGCAGGATCCTGATTGTAAGGACCCCACACTAAGGTACCCCCAATTTTCGGAAACTCCCGGATAGCTTGGTGCGCCCTCGAGGCAGGGAGACGCCCCCGCAATATTCTACCCTCTCAAGCTTGCTCTCATGTCCCGTCATTTTCCACAGTTGGAGGTTCATGGGTAGTTATAAGTGGGGCTCTAAGTCCCTTGGTATGGGTTACAACCATATAGTTATCCTACTTGTAACCCAGTGCGGCCCGCATCCTCCGGAAAGCACGATTGCTTGCAATGCCTTTGCATTGGCCTCATGTTGGCTTCGAAACGTGCGAATCCCGCCCAGACACGACATGAGGAGATACATGTCGGCTGTGGCCCAGAATCCCGCCAGTAGGGACCACGGTTCTGAATGCGCCGGTACATGGAGGAGCATTCTGGCCGTGGGCATGTAGGCCATATTCGCGAAGACATGGTCCAGAGTCGCGCCCGTAGCCTCAACCTTTGCCAAGAGATGCGTGCGCGATTCGAGGTTTTTGGTGCACATGACGCCCGTTTCTCCAAAGCGCGCCTACCCAAAAGAGGGCATAGCACACCCCGCTTTGCTACGGAGAAAAAGGGTTTAGGGTTTAGGGTGCTCCAGGTCTTCAATGTGGAGGTCTTAGGGTTCGAAGACGCAGAGTCTAGGATTACAATCTAACCCTACCCCGAAAGCACTATAACATTCTAGTCTTTGCTGGGCTTTTAAGTAGCTAGGGAGAAAAAAGGATAAATTTTTACTTCATAAGGGTTCCTTTAAGAAAAAAATGTAAAGTATGGCACGCCAAAGCCCAGTTTAATTGGTCCTGAACCCTAGACGCGGACAAACAGACCACGCCCTCAACCCCAAGTCCCTAAAGCCTCACCTACTCTTACTAATTGACGACAGCCGGTTACAGCCTAAGCCCTGCATCATTGCATGCACCCCAATCGCCATGTTGCACCCGATCGTATCCTGCGCGACAGAGTGTCTAGCCTGCGCCCCATCTTGCAGTGCTACTATCATGCCCTGTCGGGCGTAAGCTGCAGGCTTTTGCCCTGCATGAAAACCTCTGCATCCTAAACCAAGACCCCGATGCCTACTCTTCACCCTGAACCCCAAGTCGGAGTTTCCGAAAATTAGGGGTACCTTATTTTGGGGTCCTTATAAGAAGGATCCTGCTATTTAGGGTACTATAGCAGGGTCCCGCTAGTCTTGGAAACTCCCTTCAACTCGAAAACCCCTAAGGCCCTAGACCCTTAAACCCCTGAACGCCTGCACCCTAAACCCCCAACCCCTAAACCCTAAACCTGTAACCCCTGAACCCCTGAACCCCTAAACCCCTAACCCCTGAACCCTAAACCCCTAACCCCTGAACCCTGAACCCTAAACCGCTGAACCCCTACACGCCCTAGCCGGCCAGATGGTTCGCGCCAGATCGCGCCGACGACACGGCGTTCTCCAGACGCGTGGCGGCCTCTCGCGCAACCTGCGGGGCAGAGGCGGTCGAAGGGGGTTTCTTACCTTTGGTTGCTGGGGAATGGAGGAAGGGAGTAGAATTATAACTACTAGTGCTACCATTCTTCCATTCCCTACTAACCCAAGGTAAGTTTTGGGCTTTAGGGGGTTTGGGTGGTTGCCCATGTCTTCGAAGTTATGGGTTCGAGTATAGGGCTTCGGGTGTAGGTTTTGGAGTCCATGTGGTTTAGGATCTCGGAGTGCGTTACTTCTGAAACCCGTGTCTTCGAAACTCTGCGCCTCATGTTTGAGAACCCCACACCCTATAAGCCTTCACTCTAAACATTGTAAGCCAAAACCTTATACGCTGACTCCAGGCCCTACGCCACCCCCACCCCGTCCCAACCAACTCTGGGTCCCGAAATCTACGCTGCGTGCATAGAACTCCTTGCTTGGATTTGGGGTCTGAGTCCAGAGGTCTGGGTTTCTGTGGCTGAAGCATCGAACCGCTAAACCCGACGAGACAGCCTCCACCCCAAAGAAATCAAGCAGCCGCCCCGAAGGTCTCACTCCCAAACGATCCTAAGTCCGCAAGACATGGAAGAAGGCCCTGAGTGTAGGCTTTGACTGGGAGTTAGGATTAGGGGGACCCTCGGGGATATAGACCCTCCCCTTTTCAGAGAGCCAGAAGTAGGGTTCGGAAGGGGTACCCTTTAAGGGGTCTCCCTCATCATGCTACCCATTGACTCCGCGACCCTCGAAGCCCTGCAGAAGTCTGGCCTCTAGATGAGGTGCACCACCCAGCCCTGCCACTT